AGCATCATAAGCCCCCCATAAACCCTGAACCATCTTGAACCCTCAACCCTAAACCCCTAAACCCTAACCCCTAAACCCTCCACCCAGCTTGTTCGGCAGTTCAACCAAGACACCCTGCAATGTGGGCTTCGTCCTTGCTAGGTAGGAGGGAAAAAAAACCTCCTAAACCCCTAACCCTATAACCCCTAAACCCTCCACCCTAAACCCTAAACCCCTAAACCCTAACCCCTAAATCCTCCACCCAAAAAAGCCAGGACGAAGCCGACCTGGATCTGCAGCGTGAGCTCGAAACGGAGCGGCTCGCGAGCGTGGGGGAGGCCGCGAGCGCATGGTTGGTTTAAGGTTTTGGGGCTTATAGGGCTTGTAGGGCTTAGGGTTTAGGGTTTTGGGGTTTATAGGGTTTATAGGGCTTATAGGGCTTATAGGGCTTATAGGGCTTTGGGGGTTTAGGGTTTTGGGGTTTAGGTTGGTTCCTCGTTCGAAAATGGTTCGTTTGAGGTTTTAGGGCTTATAAAGGGCTTTTGTGCTTTGTAAGGCTTAGGGCTGTAGCTATACATAGGCTATTTGGGCGTATAAGGCTTTTATGTTTTATAGGGTTTAGGGCTATAGCTACAGGCTATTACAAGATTTTGTGTTTGGGGTTCTGGGGGCCTCCCAGCGGCTGTGCGGAGACACTGAATGAACCCTACGTTGATTCATATACAGGGTGTCACGGACTGCACAATATTCTCAACTGTCCTTACTCCTCAGGGAAGCAGGATTCATGCCAGCCTCAGGCGCGAGCAAACCAATCCTGGCAGCTCTGGGATGATATGGTGGACTTCCGGCGCTGTTCATGGAATTTTAATGTTTCATGAAGAAGAAGAAGGAATCCTTCACCCGAGACGAACCATAAGCAGATACTCCGTTTTCCTTCATGTTCGGCAGCTAAGGATCCAGAGCCCAAATGGCAGCACTTTTACCTCACGTGGCTTCCGCGCGAGGAGGTTGAAGACCACCTTGGGAGCCGCGCAAGGCGAATGTTCAACTCAGACCTCCACGGCCTGAGCTATCGGGATCGAGCAGAGTTGAAGCTGGGTGCATGGAAAGTATTTTCTAGAGTCAGGCTCGAGACAGCCTGAAGGTCTTTGTTGAAATGCATTACTGACAGAGAGACTACAGCGGATGTTCCCCTCCGATGTTTCAGGAACAGCTCAGGATTGTTGAGCAACCTTAAATCCAAGAACGGCTCAGGATTGTTGAACGAATCCCCTAAACCCTAAACCCAAGAACGGCTCAGGATCGTTGAGCAAATCCTGGAGCAAGCTTTGCAGTGCTCCTGTGAGCTGGACGTCGCTTGCAAGGAGTTGGAGGAGGTCTGCGCCAAGGCCTCCCCAGTAATCACTAGCTAAAGGGGCCTGAATCACTAGAATAGGGTTCCTTTACAGGGCTTTATATATTAGGGTTACTACAAGGGCTATTATAAGGAGTCAGTATAGGGAATTAGAAACGGGTTCCTTCAAAGGGGTCTATAAGGGCGATTATAAGGGATGTATAAGCGTACTACACTATAGGGGGCCTTAATAGTTAGAATAGCGCTCCTTTAAAGGGGTCTATAAGGGCTACTATGAGGGGTCTATAACGGTACTATACTACAGGGGCCTTCATAATTAGACTAGGGGCTCCTTTAAACGGATCGCTTAGAGGGTTCTAGAAGGGGTTTCTGAAAAGAGGGGTCTTCACAGTCAGAACACGGTTTTCGGTTGGGGCCCATTATACTATGAATATAATCTGGAGCCCCCCCAAACTGCTATTGGAAACTAATTTTTCGGCCCCTATATTAGCCCCAAGAGTCTCTGAACTACTACAGAGGGCGTTTAGGGGTAGTAAGCCCATAGTTTTTCGAGCCCTGTGCGCCCTTGTCTAACTCTTAGCATTGCCAGACTGAAGAGATGGCACAAGACCTGGAGCTCTATAAGGGTTTTAGGGTTTAACGGTTTTGGGAGAGTTTAGGGTTTTGGTTTGGGGTTTAGGGGAAGTGGCATGCAAAAGGTGACACATTGAGGGCATGATGCCCTTACTTCTTGATGTAGGAATGGCTTGATCCCTGAGTCGTACCCCCTGCAATACGTGAGGACGAAGCAAACGAGATTGAACTCGGCAGGGGGCCCGAGCGCATGGCAGTGTATGACATGGGAGATGCACAAAGCTGAGTGAAGGTTCGCGACCGGGTCCACTTTTTGAACAGAACCCTCCCACCTAGCATCAGGGCCGAATCCCAAACTTCGGAAGCTGCGGAACCGAGTCCGTCTGCTGAAAATGGTGATTAGCAGCATAGTAAGACTCATGCTGCGCTTATTTTTAAACAGGGAGTCAACTCCAGAACATCGGACGCACAGTGGCAGCACTTCCCCCTAACCCGGAGCGCGCTGTAGACTTCTGCCTCATATCTTCTGGACCTGTAGAAGCAGAGAAAAGGGACGCCCCAAGCCCAAGAGTCCTGAACCAAACTCACCAAACCCGGACCGGACAATTTTGGATGTCTTCTCCCTTTGAGGCCGCAGAGCCTTGGAACACCATCGAAGCTTGGCTTCTTAGGATGATGCATCGCATGTGGGGATTGTCAATCCGCATGAGTGAGTACGTGGTAAGTCACTGAGTAAGTCGGTAGGTCAGAAAGAGTGACAGACCGACAGAGAGGCAGAGAGAGAGCGGGAGAGAAAGAGAGAGACCCCAGGCCCTGCCAAAGAAAGAGTAATTGTGTGTGTGTGTGTTCTATCATGAGATTATCATTGCCTGCAGATTTCGGCTTCATGATGAGAGCTTCCGGTGCTTGAATTACTCCACAAAGGCGTGAAAAGGCGCACTTGTGTTGCTAAGACTCGTGTTTGCAAGAGCAGCGCAAACTGTAATACCTATACACTTGAAAGCGTGTAGATATCCCCAGAGTAACACTATGACTGTTACGGGAATCTGTATCACTCAGGAGTCATTGGCATGACGGTTGTGGGCGCCTCGATCCACTTCTCCCTGCTGGCACAACTGAAGCCCGAGGTGGGAGTTTCCCAAAATTAGGGGTACCTTATTTTGGGGTCCTGATAATAAGGATCCTACTATCTAGGGTACTACATTAGGGTCCCCTGTTTTCGGAAACTCCCAGGTGGTTTTGGTTGAGGAAGCAGCCGAGGCGCGGCCGTGGGCGGTGGTTGTCGGTTGCTAGCATGTTCATATGACTTGGACAGTTTCGATTGCGACTGGCTAGGACTGTAGTAGACATTCGATTGCTATGGCTCTGTTGCTGCTTGTCCCAGCTCTAAGAATGTACTACCATTATCATCCTCCCGCTCTCGCAAGCCTCCGTCGTCGAAGGCACACTTGAAATTGCCACAGCCTGCGGCAGCTTTCATTGTTGCTGTTGGCCGACAAGCTGATACACAGCATATTACATTGCTGCAAGTCCCTTTCAGTCCACATCCTAGTCCTAAGCCCGCAACCTGGCTTTCTGCTGTTGTGCATGGGCACCCGAGGTTCTGGAGCCACAAATTCTGGCAGTTCTTGGCCCATGGGTCAAGCTCCTTGTCTCTGAAAGACATATGTTGCTGCAGTGTTTGAGCGGGGTTGTAAGGATATCATCTTCTTCAGGAACTTACGTCGAAGTTAATCCTAAACTCTGAACTTGGTCGCGCAGCAGAGGCAGCTGATCATGATCGGAGACACAAGTTGCTCGGCAAAGCAGGTTTTGTTTGCAAGGTTATTGGGGCTCTCTTTCAGAAGCTCCGGGATGATGACCCCCAGCATTGCTGCGGCACGCCGAGTCTTAAATCACTGTCCAGCAGACTCTAAGAGCTGCAAGCAAAGTGACATGACTAGCAAACCTTCGGTCCTGCTTTTACATCCTCTTACCCTCCAAGATCAGCTGCCGCCGCAGATCGAGACATTTAAACTGAAGCGGCAGCTTGGCTCAGCTCTTGGAAGGGTTTATGTCGGACTGAAAGTTTGGGGGATAAATTTATAATGTCATGCTCTCCAGCGGTTCTCTGGTCCAGAGATCTCGCTCGCATCGAGCTACAGTCGAAACAAACTGCAGCGACACGGAACGCGGAGGAAGGACGACATCAGCAGAAACTGCAACAGCAACACCACGACAGCAGTGGCAACGGCGACGATGACGGCGAGGCCAACGACCAGGCCAACATTCTCAGCAGCAGCGGCGGCACCGGCAACGACAACCCCGGTGGAAGCAGCAGCAAGAGCAGCACAACAACACGACCGACAGGGCTAGTAGCAGGACCCTGTGCAACCCACTGCCCAGTAAGCATGCCCTTGCAGTTCGTCAGGGAGCACCACTTCGACGTGAGCATGATGGAGCGCCTGATTCTGAATCGTTTGGAGAGTGTGCAGCTGTGTAAGCAGAGTCGAATGCTTCCCGATCTGCGATCCCTTCTGCAGCCGATCTATCCAGATCTGTTTCCTGGGTGCACATGAGCCCTGAGCCTTAAAGGGTCCTACTACAGGGGCCTAAATAATTTCATTAGTAGAATGGGCCCCAAAACCGATTCTAAGCATTAAGGCCCCTAAATTAAACCTTGAGTTCTTTTCCTTGGTTCAAAAGTCAACTCAGCAATGCCTGACCCAGAGTTCCAGAGCAGACAAAGGTGTGACAATGTAAAGATGACGAAAGACTTGAAGGCACCGGAGTCTGGGCTCTCGTTAAGGAGTTTTTAAGTTGCCATAATAGGGGTCTATCGTAAATAATATGGTTTCCTTCTTAGATTAAGTCCCTCAGCAAGAACCCAGGAGTGTGTTGCATCGCCTGTCTTCTTCTGGGATTGTGGAGATCCAGAAGCCCGTATCGACCGCAGTCTCGTGAACGAGTCTGAGCGACTTGGCCTGGAAAAGCGCTGTAGGGCGGGTTGTCGCGGTATTCAGTGGACCCTCTTTTGGGAATTTCCGGAAAATTCGGGGTACCTTATTTCGAGGCCTTTTTAATCAGGATCCCACTAACTATTTAGGGTAGTATATCAGGGTGCCCTATTTTCGTAAACTCTCTTATAAGCCCTCTTAGCAACCGCTGTTGAAAGCCGTTGGAGGAAGTACGCATAGGGATAGTTTATACCCTCAGCACCGAATCCTCCATGCATACAGGTGCGACCGAGCGGTTCGCTTGGCCGCTTTCTTCATCTCCGAGGGTTTTGCCCCAGGCGAAATCACCCTGCTCGCCCCTTATGCCCCCTGGCGTGGCAACAGGAAGAGCTGTATATATAATATCTTTCGGGGCAAGCGGGCTCTTTCTTGAATCGATGAAGTGAAGTGGGGTCGTGCTAGTCGGAGTCTAAAACCGGCATTCGCAACCGAAAACCCTGAGGCTGGGCAAGTTTCCTTGCTGAAGAAACGACTGGCGACAGAGCTTCCGGAGTTGGTCCACACGCAGCCAAAGGACCTCCCGGTGGTGAGCTCGGTTGACAGGCCAGAGAGGGGCCAAATGGAATGAACCCCTTTTAAGATGTTTGACTACAGTCCTACCATTGATTGTCGGCAGTCGGCAGTTATGGTTGAGGCTGTGCTTTGAAAGCTTTTTTGCTTTCGAACAGAAGCAGGTATCAAGGCGCAGAGAACTCCATCGTCATTGTCTCCTTGGTCCGATCAAATCCAAATCGCAAGCTGGGCTTTTTGGGCTGGGACGATGGAAAGCGACGGATGTGCGTGGCACAGTCTCGAGCCAAGTGTGGCTTGGCAAGTGGGCGTTGGCAGGGAGTGTGGTAGCGTATTCGGCTCTCAGAGTTTGCTTTAACCAGCTTCTGTCATATTATGATAGAACATCGTACTTTCAACCCGAAATCCGAAGTAGGAAGCCTGACATGTCCGAGTGCAAGCACAGAAATAGAATCGTTGCTTCCTTTCAAGGTGGCCTCTACTTTATTGGTAATGCCCACTGCCTGCGGAATGCGCCGCATTGGGGAAAGTTGCTGGAGCTGCTTGCGCATCGAGGAGCTATTGGACGCAAGTTCCCTCAGCGATGCCGAACACATCGTGAGATCCGCAAGGATGCCGAAGATGCTTCTGGTTTGTGGATAAAGGGCTGTATCCACACCGAGCAGTACCTGATCGACGATTCTACTTACATGGCTCGGCGATGCGACAAAAGCGACAGTGTCTCGGAGTGGTGAGTGGTCAAGGTGCTTGTTTTGCTCCCAAGATCTCTATGCACTCCCTGCAAAAGCATGCAAGTTCAACGACGCTTCTGAAGTAAGCAAGTCAGAGTTTTTTCCTGCAATTATGGCGGCTGACCAAGGAGATGGCCCGGAAGATATGGAGCGACCGTGCAAGAGCCGGCGGTGTACATAAGCTGCAGACATCTCCAAAGTAGGGTTTAGGGTGCACATAAGCGCCAAATAACCAGGAGAGTTCAAGTTGGAGCGAGATGTCTCGGGCTTCTGAAGCAAAGCCTGAGCCTAGACTCCAAAGCCATCTTCGGACAATACCTCGAACTTGAACTCGAAGATCAAACTACCTACACTTCAGAGTCTGGACGACCGGAGGCAGCAGGGAGACACAAGGGAGCCTTTGAAACAGAGAGGACAAGTCCAAACTCTGAAGTCCGGAATCCTTTAGTCGCGTGCCCAAGAGCCGGCCCTGCACCGATTCGCCGGCCGGCTGGCTGCGACTGAAGCGACAGCAGAATCCGCGAAAAAAGTCGACCTCGCGACTGGGTTCCAAGAGGTGTGCCTTCAGCTAAGGCATCGGCGGACCCTTTGAGTTTAGCAGCCCGCAGCTTCCGCATGCTGGCATGGGCCATGGGGTGGCATAGTAGAGGTTCAACAATGGTGAAACCCTAAACCCTAAACCTGCCCCAATCAGTACTAGTCAATGGAGAGGCTTTAATTGGCTGTCAAAGCTACACAGCCTTTTCAATTGTTGCTTCGACGTTACCCTGCATTGGGGGCTTTGTCCTTGCTAGGTAGGAGGGAAAAAAACCTGCCCCAATCAAGCGCTCAGGGTTTAGCCTAAATCATCGGACCTCAAGGAGTCCGAAGAGGACAAGAACGAGTGTTGCCATCTCCGAAGCTATACTAGTTTAGGGGTTCCTTGTTCCAATTATAGTATAATGGGCCCCAAAATCCTATGCTAATTTAGTGACGATTTCCGATTGACTCCACCACCTTTAAGTTACATAGCTGACATAGCTGTTCTGCACAAATACCGGGCTTCCATGTTGCCGCGATGTTTGACGAAGCCCTGGGCCCGGCTTGTCGTGAGCCCGTTTGTCACACGACCTGCGCCAAGAAATGGTTCTCCCATGCCCAAGTGAAGCAAATGTTCAATATCTCTTGATTTCCATCCTAATCACCCGGCCAAGGTTTTTGAGCATGTTTCAGCAACTAACCATTTAGGAAAACCCCCGCCCAGCGCTTGCCTCCATACTACTGTAGGCCACTACATGTCAGTGTAACCCCGTCAGCTTGCGCTTCGATTATCTGAAGCACAAGCCAAGAAGCCTTGACAACTTTTCTATGCTCTTGGCCCTGAGCCTGAACCTCAATCTGGCAGACCCCAAATAGGGTGTGCTTAACAAATCCTAGGCACCTAAACCCCTAACGCCCTAAACGCTTAGCACCCAAACCCTAAAGGCCTAAAGCCTTTTGTCGGAGGTGCAGAAGATCATGCAGATGGGAGTCGCTACGAAGCCGGATTTCAAAGGGAGGACCGGGCGTTTAGGATTTGGGGTATCAGACCACCTCTCCAAACTAAGGGTCGGCTTTAGGGTTTGGGGCGACCGATTGAAGGCGAAGTACCAAGCCTGTTGCGAAAGGGTTACGCAGTAGGACCACCTTTCCAAGCGGGGACGTAGGCTTCAGGTCTTTGGAGACTATAAGAGCAATTGCGAAATATTGTGGGGGGTTCGGAGTACCTCGAGTTCGACAGGACGCTGCCGATAATTAGCACGAATTTGTGCCTGAGGTAGCTAGCTTGTGTGTTCAATCACTCCAGGAAGGACCAAATCAAAGTCACGCGAGAGACGAGGGTGCAGATGAAAGACCTTCCCATGCTGCCGCGGCCCCGGTCATGAGCCTTCGAAACCGAACCTTGGGGTCGCTCCACCGTCAGATTCTGTAAGCTTGTTCTAGAGCGTTTTGGGCCGATTGATAATCGTACCCGGACCCTAGAGAGTTTTACACTTTACACTCTGCAACATGCAGATGCTCAAAGCCCTAGCTTCATCATCATCCCAAGTCAGAGACCATGGGTCTCCAGTGAAAGTCCCGAACACCGCTGCGGCTTGAAGACTAGACCTCGGCCCGCCCCCTTTGACCTTGCCACCGGCTTGCCACACACTGTCAGCCCAGGCCAGAGTGGGCATCAGGTTTATAGGGTTTATGGAGGGAATAGAGCTTAGAAGACCACTAGCAAACCCTAAGGCCAAGAAGCCTTGGCTAGATTAAGGGGGGCTTTTCTCAGGACCGTGCAGGCTTGAGAGCTCAAGTTAGTGTCGCGAGCTCCACCCTGAACCGACTTCTAGGGATTCTTCCCAGCAAAACCACCCCAAAAAACATCGATTGTTCGGACGTCTGGTTGTTTCTCGACGGAACTCAAAAAGCCCTCAAAAAAGTTAAGATCAAGCCTTGCCAGTGCCTGCCAGGCTTTCCGAGATAGGCTACGAAGAGGTAGCCTCCGAAGTCATGCAGGAGCATGGGCTTTGGAGATTGGCATTTGGGGCTGCGATTAAGGGCCACCAGGAGAGGGTCTTTATGCGCATCCTCGTCCTGTTCTCGTCCGTTCTCGTGTGGCCTGGGGCCGAGCTGTAAAGCTGCTTGTTCACGAAGGGATAAGGGAATGCAGCGCCACTTGTTCGGACTGCGAGGGTCGGTCGATAACGAAGTGCTACTGTAAGCAGCAGCAACCTCAAGTGCGAAGAAAGACTTGTGAGAGAACACCAGACGACAATGACGGTCAAAGAATGAGGACGGTGAATGCCAATGCCCAAAGCTTCAGCTTAGATGCTAAACATGCCAAATGCTGGAATTAAAGAGCCACCAACCACCCGTCGGTGAGGAGTGTGCCTCCCTCGCCGCTGCCTTGGCTTATTTTTGTTCTGCTTGCGGGCTGTTTGTGTTTCGCTTGAGCCGCCTGAAGGCAGCTGTATACTTGTGGGTCTGGCGAAGTTGTTCTGCTTCGAAAGCGAAGTGCTGCATTCCAATAACTAAAGCAACGAAAGAGCCGTTGCAAAGACCAGTTTTTAACGAAGAGCGGGCTTGAGCCGTGAAGCTTCTGACCGCAGATACAAAGTCCGATGCTAGAACCTCAACACTCCAGGCCATGCAAACTGCTGGTAAAGTTTTCAAAAGTGAAAAATCTTCCGAGGGTTTAGAGTCGGGTTTCGCGCTTGGTATTGGGGTCGGAACAATCCGCGATATTCATACCATTGGCATACCATTGCCACATTCCCCCCAAAGCCGTATTCTGATGATCAAGGCCCTCATATTAGGGTTTGCCAACCCTGAACCGTCAAGTCCAGAGTTTGAATTTCTGTAGGGCCTGAAAAATTAGAATAGGGTTTTGGCGGGGGCTCCTTATTACAATCATACTATAATATGGCCCCAAACCCTCTTCGAATTAGTAAAGCCCATACATTAGGCATTAGGTACGGCTCAGGTCCATCTCGTGGATTTGGATGCAGCCCGAGGTCATCTGTGTGGTCTGGGAAGTGTCAGAAAATCCCACTTCGGTGGTTCTTATGATAAGGAGCCTTTGAAAGCTTCTAGGTGGCTCTGACAGAGGCCCTGTAAATCATACGACCATGCAGGTCCGTAGCCTATGCCCCCCATGGCAGCCTCCAATCGTGAAGCCTCAAGATCGGGCGCTGCCATGCATCTTTGGTTCCCTGACATTCCCAATACAACTACTCCAGAGTTATATTCGAGTAATGCAGGCCCTATGACATACTGCGGGGATCATAATTGGGGCCTAATTATAGGGCTTCTATGGCGACTTGGAGTTCAAGCTCATCCGGGGATCTTATAAAAAGGTTCGGATGATCATCCTCCGGCCTTCCATCCAGGGAAGTACTGTGGCCAGGTTTGGGTCCTCTGCCTGCGTCTCCTTCGCCCGGTGGTTCCATGAGGTCCGAGGTTATCGGAACCCTGAACCCTACACCCTCAACCGCTCCTTTTGAAAAAGGCCCATTGCGAAACGGACGACCCAATCTTCAGATCCCACTCAGCCCTTAGCGAAGCCCTGAAGTCCCAAAACCTAGATCGCCATCTTCAACCGTAGGGTCCCAACTAGGCTTCTAGCTTCAGCTCCCTACGGCTGGGAGGCTTGCCGAATATCTCGCACACCTTCTCGTCCGGGCCGTGGCTGTTGCTCTTAGGCCTCTAATGCCCCAAAACCTCAACGAGTGGAGACGCCGAGGCTTATTGTTCAGGTTATATCAGAGGCAATAATCATACTGAGCTAAGCCAGTAAAGGGCTGAAAGCCTAAGGTTCAAGCATGAACATCTGGCGACTGGGTCTGCGAGACTGCTCTCGCCCAGTCATAGTCTGTTTACACGGCAGGAGCGAGGCTACCAAAAGCATGCCATGCCGATGTGGCTCTTAATTTCAACACCCTTCTGCCTTACCTTGCGCACGACCAGATAACTTGCCGAGTACACACCCCATGCAGTGCCTGCCAAGGCCCGACGGTATCTATGAGTTCATGGAGCAGCTTCGGGCAGCCCACGGCTTCACCCACTCGGAGCGGGTCCCGATCTCGGATAGATGCTAGCAGGATGCACCGCACCACAGGGTCTGGGCCTTGGACTTGCGAGAAGGTTGTGTGCGCGAGTTCGTCGCAGCCGCTTCAGCAATGGCATCGATTCCCACGATCTTCGCGACGGAATGGGCGGATGCCAGGTTGGCCATAAGGCTCACAAGCCTCAACACGAACTGGCACCGGGTGATGGTAGAATGGCTGGAACTGCAGACGTCCGTCGATCTCAGAAACGCATGCGATGCCGAGCTTGGCTCTATAAGCCGGAAGTGCCCCAAGCTGGAGTCACTGGACCTCAGTGACGGCGAGGCGATGACATCATCGGCTATTGTGGATGCCCTTCGAAGGTGCCCAAGCCTGAAAACCTTAGTTGCGCACGGTCGCAACCCGGTGCAAACTACGAGCGGTTGGCGAGCAATCCAGGAAGCCAGGCCAGACATCGTGGTAATCGGCCGCCGATCCCGCTTGGTGATTCGGGTTCGTGCGCCCGGCTTGGGCTGGGATCTCCAACGTCGCTTCGACGTGGGCGAGAATACGCCGCTGGGTAAAGTGATGGATAAATGGTGCAGCCTCTTTGGGCTCACGTCATCGCAGGTTCGCTTCCTGGCGGACGGCGAGCGCATCTCCGCAAGCGACACCTGTGCTTCCCTAGGACTACAAGATGGCGACGACTTGGACGCACTTCTTGAGCGAACGAACATAGGCCAGTGGCAAGCCCTCGACATCCCTGAAGGTTCTTGGACACAGCTGGACCGACTTCTACTCGGCAAGTTAGAGCCACATCAAGTCTCCAAGGAGACGGTGCTCTCTGTAGTTCGAAGGACTCAGGCCCTGACTCCGGCCTCGCCGGTCCCCGGCTGGAGGATGAGGTCAGCTCAGGGCGAAGTGGCTCTCCCCTGGAAATCCTTGAAAGTTCTGGATTGCGAGCAATGCGCCAAACTCGTGGAGTGGACAGAAAGCTCCTTCCAGCGGGAGCCAGGTGCTCATGACTTCCAGCTGCGACTAACAGGTGCTGAGCTAGACCAGCTCACCTGTGACAACACCAGCAGGACTCTCACTGCCTGCGCAGAGAGTGTACTGAATGGGCAGGAGGTGGGTACATGGTAGCTGGTAGCCCAAAAACTGCATCTTGCGCAGGAGAATTTCCAAATGGCAATCCCGAATAAAATCAATCCCGTCGCCAGGTGGCTCCGCCCTATTTCATCCTGCGCCGGCATGCGGCCAGTGACCAAACACGGCTTCGGATACCTTTCCATCGAGACTACAGCCTCGCAGTGGTCAACATGAGCTTGACTTTTGTCTTGAGGTTATTGTAGTACATGTTCTGTTGTCGTAATCATAGTATTTAGTTGCTGTTATGTTCTACCCATGTTGCCAATCTGTCGCAGAGACAAGCTGTCACAGACCCCAGCTGCTCAGAGCAGTCCTGTTGTACCAAATGTACGGAATCACAAGAAGTGGAACAAGAGTAAGCACCAGGGTGCGAACTTGAAAAGAAGTGTGAGAGTGCGTCCTACCGAACCATAGGTTTGGCATGATCGAGGTTGCTTTGGGACGCAAGGACAGGGCCCCTTGCACATGTATCCTTGCTGTCAGGAATTCCGCGTACACCGGCGGAACGCTCATGTTCGTACATGGTGCTCGTCTCATATGCCCAGAACGCAAACCTGGCTGGGCCACCGCGCACAATCAGACTGCCATCCATGGTGTTTCCCGCATAACAGCTGGAGTACGATACAACCTTTTGGCAGCTTTCGATCCAGCAGATTAGCTCAGAGCACAGCAGATTTCCATCACTGGCCACAAGGAGCTGCGCGAGCAGAGGCACCAAAGGCCGAGTGTGCGTTGTACAGGCTCTCGTTACCTTTGGCCTGCCAAAGCTGTCGTGCCCTATCCGCTCGGCTTCTTGTTCCAAGACGCTTGAAGCATACGGGAGCCAAAACTAACCGAAGAATGCACAAGGCGTGGGGCTGCTCCGCGAAACAGCAACGGCAGCACGGAACCAGGGCTTTCGTGTACGCCAGCAGGAGTATCTCATGACAAGCTGTAGCTTTGTACCTGCAATACCGACAGGGTGATGGAAGTGCAGCTAGTCAGCTAGTACTGGAACCAAGAGCATGGACTCCGTATACTCCGTCGTAACACTTCTAACCATTCGGAACTCAAAGCTGCAGAAGGGCTCAGAGGCTGGATGCTCATAGGGAGATTCGGTGCGTGGCTCCATGCATTGAGTACAACCCTTGCATCCGAACACACGGGCAAGTTTGTGTCGTCCAAGTTTCTGGAGGAAGTTGCAAGACTCCATGCGAAGACTTTTTATTGCATCTATCTCGGGCACCAGCGATGCAGCCAACGACTTTAGGTGTTAAGGATGGCGGGCACTCTATGTTTGTGTAAACGAAGCCCGAGACCCGAAGCCGCGTTTTACCTCCTTCCCCTTTCCCTCTGCAGTTGACATAAAGGTCATGTTGCAAGCCCGACGGAGAGAATGACCTGAAAGATGTGTGCATCATCCCGTGCCTACAAACCCTGACCGAGGAAAGTCAGAGGTCACAGTGGAAACCACAAAGTGCAGAATCCGCAAGCACAGATGTTCCGACTATGCCCTAGACCATGAAGCCAAAATACTAAAACCGAAGCGAGGGACCCCGGGCATTTCGGGTATGTACCTTGTGCACGGAACCTGAGCCCAGAAATCCTTGAACTCACCGAACCTCACCAGCACAAACCTGAGCCAAAACACCCCAACACACCGCCTTGGAGCCGGCTGACTGTGAGAGCTTAAAGCTCTGCTCTATCCACCCTGTAGACCCTGGAACCCCTTGCTCCCGGTCATAGGCACTCAAGACCCCGGATCCTCAAATCCTACGTTAGACCGCCCCAAATTCTAGCCGGAAGCTTCAAACTCCATCCACCCCCAAACCCTAAGCCCGGAAACTGTAAACTTCTAAAGCCACAAAATCTCCTACCACCCTAGACAAACCACCTCGACCCTAAACTCCAGAGACCCAAGGGCAAGAAGACCCAGCCCAAAACCCCCTTAACCCTAAACCCTAACCCCCAATCAGTCCCCGTACAACCTCACCTGTGGACATAGATGCCAGCCATGCGAGAGAGGAAAAAACCCCCAAGAGTGGATCCCGGCAAATGAGGTGGACATGCTCGAGTCCTTCCATCGCTTCCAGGGTGAAAAGGACCTCTCAGAGCACCAGCGGCAGGGTCTGCAACGGTTTGGGGTTGCTTAAAATATTTCTGGCAACGTATCTTCATAGCTGTTATGGGCAACAGAACTGCGATGATGTCAACCATTGGCAGTTTTTGTTTTAGTTTTGAAGCATCAGTCTTCCTCAGAGTCCGTGAGCTTGATGACGCGGGACTGAGGAAGTGGTTCGAGTCGTCTTAGTTAGCTGTCAAGTCCGAAGTAGCTATATAGTAGCGTGTACAGTAGGGTTTCCATATTAGGAATTACTACTATGCTTTGGGGAATTATGCCCACGAATGTAAGGCAGGAGGCTCCACCCTGGCCGACGACCTGCTGCGGGATCCCACCACAGAAGCGCAACAGAGTAAGCAAGAAACTCAAAGGAAAGAGGGGAAACTGCACTGCTTTAATATGTGCTTGTGTGCGCGAGCACGAAAATTCTTAAATAATGAAATGGTCTAAAAGCAGAGCTCATAAGATTGCAGGAAGGAGAACTCTAGTGCCCGAACAGACGCCTGGCCTCCCTCGGCGTCCATATCGTACTACAGGAGCGCAAAGCCATGAACGAAAAGATATGAAGAGTAACGATACTACTAGCGGTAATGGCAAATCGCAACCATAGTCACAAGACAAGTAATGATACTATCATACATCCGTGTCTCCAAAACGCACTGCAGGAGTCCTGCAGCAGTTTCGACCACGACTGCGACACGGCACGTTCAGGCGAGCCCAGGGTGTTGCCCGAAGCTGGGTGATGAGCTTTTCTTGAGACACTTATACTGTTAAGGATACTACGGTTCTATAAATGGGTTCCCTTCAATGGTTAAGCGTCAGGTTAGGGTTGAAGGCCAATTTAGGTCTACGGTACACCAGCCCCTCCTGTAGCTCTGCAAGACCAGATTCCGAATGAGCTGTTATTAGATGCTGAGTGTTCAGCTTCACCGATGCTTCTACGCCTGCCTATCACAGACTGGTAGGCGAGCGAGGGGCAGTTAGGGTTTATCCAGGCGAGCATATACAAGTCTGTGCAAAGAGGGTTTAGGGCTCTTTTGTACGATTGAAGGGTTGTTTGAGGCGTACTTTACCTGTAAATCCTACTTCCTGCCCTGCAGGCTCCACGATCTCTGAGTCCGAAGCCTTCGCGCCTTGGCTTCTATGCCCCCGCAAGGTACTCTGTGAGCTAGTTTCGGCTTAAGACTATGAGTGATCCTAGTGACGGCACTGCTCGGGGATGACATGTCTGTATGTTGAGTTGCCTCAACCCTACAACCCCAATCTAACATGGGCACCCGAACGATTACCAATCCTTTGCCAGAGGGTGCCTTACTTACAATGATACAAAATGTGACACCCGCAGGCCCCATTCCAGTTGCACACTACTTATCTTTGTCATAGTTTTACAATATTTTACATTTTCATGGGTACTTAAACTTAAGAAGGAATAAACATGAACACTTTAATCCTATCCCAACAATGAACTAGGTATCAAGGCCCCCATATCAGGCCCCGGTCCGGACGCACGGCCCAGGCTCAAAGTCTGTTCTTGAAGCACAGTATCAGACAAAAAGCGAGATTCTCTTCAGAAAACCGTTTTTTATCACCAAGGCTCCGATATTGACCTGATTGCAACAACCATGCTTTTGGTTGGGCTTAACGCGAAACCTACCATGTTTCCAGAACGAGGAGTTGAATGATCCCTAAATGGCCAACACCCAGGATCTGCACATCACGGTGATGCAACTCTTTTGCGCGCTGCGCTGGCCAGGGTGCTCGGTGGGTGTTCGGTTTCGCATAGCCGGGACGTACATACGTGCAGTATCCGTAGCAATCATCTTTTCTGGAGTTGCGGTATAGGGTTTTGGAGCCTGTTGTGATCGGCAGAGTCTGGGTTCAAAAAGGGGTCAACCGGCTTCGGGCCGGCGGCCGAGCATGTTGGATCTTCGTGGCCAGACAGAATTTAGGGGCTTACACGGTTTAAGGTCCATAAGGTCTACGAGTCTATGCCAAAGGAACACTGGGAGCATGAATGCGATATTGGTCGTACGTCCGACAAGAAAGTTTCTGAAGTGCATCTCGCTGCATGGAGTGAAAACTCGACATTATCACACTGCTCCTCAGTAGTCGTGCTAGATAGAGTCGTTTTGGTCCCTACTGTTTCGATTAGACAGCGATGCAAAGTAAAAGTGCACTTACCACCGCATTCTTGTAAAGCCTTTGTCCAGAGCCCCTAAACCCTAAAGCCTAAAAGTGTAACACGAACCTATTAACTTGACACTTAGCCAGCTACTGCCGTTGAAAGATAATCTGAGTTCCCCCTAGTATTCTGTAGTTTGTGACAATTTAGGTGCTAGTATATGATACATTTATAGAATACTGTCGTATGCGACACTGTATGTGATGCCATATTATGTGCGTGTGTATATATACATAGATATTTTTCATTTTTTATTTATTTATAGAATCAATTAATATCTTTCTATATTATAGAGCAGACAAAACAGTGGATCTCGAGCCGGTCAGCTTCAGGCTGGGTTACCCGACGGAGCTTTGGCAGGCTCCGGCCTTAAACCAGAGCAAGGGTTTGATACGGGGGCCTTAATCAGAATAGGCGGCTTTCGGGGCCCATCATACAAGCATAATAAGGAACCCCCCCAAAACAGGGTCGGTTTGCCCTTGCGGCTTGTCGGTGGGCTTAGATGCATCCGAGTTGCGTGAGCTGGGCCCCAAGCCCGCGGCCAGGGGCCTATGCGAATCTAGTTATTCGCTCTGCCGAATATCGAGAACTAGTACAGACAAAGCAGAAGTATGAAAGTCGTTCCAAACCCGAGTTTAATGATTGAGGACCTTATGGTCATCGCAGAACACCGCCTTCCGAAAGCATCTCCATGAGGTTCAAGAACTCCTAGACAGCATGGAGCTGACCGGCGCACAGCTGCGGGAGGCACGGAGTTGTGTCTTCCTTTTGCTGGGCTCTGAGCTTTGAAGGGTTACCCAGTCTTAGGGTTCTATAGGCCTTTAAGGGGCTTTCTTAGTTGGGATTTCTGGGTTTGCCAGAGTTATGTGCCTCTTAAGGTTGAGGTGGCTGTTTGGGGTTTGGTGTGGGACCCTGACCCTGCTTCAGAAAACGGTCTCGGAACCTCTGGGTCGCCGACGCTTAGAGGTTCAGAGCTTACGGCTTTCCGAATACGAGTGTGCAACCAGTTGTCCAGCATGCAGAGAGCATGTGCTGGAAGAGGCTGTGCTGATGTTCTACTCTTGCACCTGATGGCTGCCACGCCTTAGCAATGCATCAGAGCTTAACTTTAGGGGTTGAGGGTTTGAAAGGGGGACTCTTGCTGTAACCGGGCTGCTGGACAACGAGGCCTGCTGCAAAAAGTGGACTTCACAAAATCATTCATTTCTGTTTCCCGCAGGCTTCTATAGCGGCCCATCTTTAGAACCTCTACAGGCCCACATCATTGGAAAGCAACTTCGGAACCGAAACAATCTTCCTGAGGCCATAGCACAGCGTTTTATAGCAAGAGTTACTGAGTTTTAGGATTTCTCGGCTTTGTGCCCCTTCAGGAGGA